TCTCTCTCTCTCTCTCTCTCTCTCTCTCTCTCTCTCTCTCTCTCTCTCTCTCTCTCTCTCTCTCTCTCTCTTTCTCTCTCTCTCTCTTTGTGTGTGTGTGTGTGTGTGATGGCGACGTTGGCTCGATGACAGCGACCACGTGCAGAGCAGCCATGGCGACGGCAGCGGCTGAATGGCGGGCGGGGGGATGGCGGGCGATGGGAGTCTCGACAGCTTACCAGCGGGCGATGGGAGTCTCGACAGGGTACCAGCGGCTGAACGGCGGACGGGGGGGTTTTCGATTCAAACAGGTCGGCCCCTCGTTTCCCCCCGAAATCGAGGCCACACAGTGAACGGAAAAAAAAAAATTCTAAAAACTAAGAGGCACGCGTCCGGCCGTGTCTGCAGTGGCCCAACGGGTCGAAAAAATACGAAGGCCAATTTTCTGGGGTCAGCCTCGACCCAACGAAGGGTTAAGGCCGACCCGTTTTCGAAAAAAAAATTGTCTGGATTTGGCACCTTCCGGACCCTCCGGACCGCACGTCCGCGCGGACATTGTGCTCCGGACTGTCTGGAACTCGGTCCGGACGTCCGAAACGTAACCATGGTTACGGTGCATATACGATTTTTGAAAAATTGCAAACATTTGCATTTTACATGCTCAAAGTTACCATATACAAACGTGTCTGTTTTTTTTTTGTTTTTTTTTTTGTTAAGTCAGTCTTTGTTGTATTATAAACTACCATTTCTTTGTTCGAATAATGTTGATAAATGTCGAATGACTAATTTTGAACAACATTATCTGATTGATCTTGCATGGTTATAGTGCTCGACATTACAACAGGAAACAAACAAATTAAGGTGCACCTTATACAACAATGACGAGCATCACTCCCATCGCAGTGCCTAGAGAGGCAGCTCTCACCACAACAAACGGACCATTTCCATACGAATATGAGTCAATAGTAAGATGTAAAGTTGGTGGATGTAAATTATTTGTAGTTGCCGTGATGTTCACGGAGATCAACGTGTATGATGTTCGAATTTATAAAAGACAAGGAGAAACGGGGACAGTGCAAGAGTATGTGGAATGCCACAAAGCAGCTTTGCAAGTCAACGTGAAAAAAAAAAACAACATTGATGCGCGAGGGCATAAGACTTGAAGGCTGTCTGCTTTTGTAACCGACTTTGAAAGCATGCCTATTCCACCCATCCAGACGTGCATGTTGGACGGCTCAAACGATGCAAGCATGTGGATTCTCATCATTAATGCAACAAATAGGAGCCGCTGGTAATATGAAAGTAGGAAAATGTGAGAGTATGACCGGGGATATTTATTCAAAAATGATATGTTGCTAAGTATGAGACATAAAGCAACGATGACATTCACATGTGGATAAGTGTTCAGTTATTTATTGCATTTGCGGTGTATTTACTATGGCAAACTCGTAGAAATATGATACGATTCTCAATTTCGTATGCAAAGCAAGAGAGAAAAAATAAGAAAACGTGCACATTTACAGTGTGAAAATAAATATGCATTGAATGTTTTCAAGTATTGGGGCGGGGGGTTGTTGCAGCGTGTGGCAAAAAAACCAGATTGAGAGATGTAAATCGCATTGACAATCTTATTATATTACAATAATGAGGAAGGTTTTAGAATATATTCATCAAATTACTTATGAATCAAAAGGATAACAAAACCAAAATGCATATTCGATGCCTTTTCTCACGCCAGAGGGTTGGTGGTTGCTTATTGCCTATTCGCCGCGGTCCAGATGGGCTTATGAATCAAAAGGAAAACAAAACCAAAA